AACCATTCATTAAAAAAAAAAAATTGATTTGCATTAGTTTATATGCATCTCTAAGCCTATATTTAATCAATTTCTTGTGTATATATAATTCGTGGCCATACTTAATGTTACAGTGGCTCAGTAAAATGCCGTTTGTACCATTGTGATTTAATTTTTCAATTTTTGGTCCATGAAATGATTTAGCTTGTCTCTGAAATTCCAAAATAATCATTGTTGTTGAGAGATTATGCAAGAAACAAGGGGCTTTTGGTCTTTGGTAGAAACTGCAGGGTAAAAACTGCAAAGTAAAAAACTAATAGGCTTATTCATTTCATGTTTTGTGGTGATTATTAATTTAGACAAATTGATGCTGATTGATCAACCAAGTAGTGCATAAGAATCAGCTTGAAATCTCCACAATTTCTGCTTGTAAAAGGCTTCTACACACAATCTTCACAAAGAATTATATATTGTTATTGTTGTAAGTATAAAATTATTACTTATGCTTTATGGCTGATCTACTGGTGCTTGAAAATATAGTATTCAAGATTTATAGAGCAGTTGACACGTACGTATGAGAAGAGTGGATGAGAAATTAGCCAATTGAATTAATAATGTTTTTTATATCAAAGGCCTTGAACCCCTTTGAGAATGGAGAAATAATACCATCCAGTCACACAACTCTTTGACAATGTTTGTCGGTTCTCGAGACTAAATTATTTACCATCACTGTCCAAAAGAGAAAATTTTAACCAAGTAAAGAACAAAGTAACATGTGGTGCTTGGAAATTTTCATCACAATCTTTATCTTAATTAGCCTTCAATACTACTATAAGAAAAACACATATACCTAACAAAATTAAGTAAATACCTAACACTCTGGTTATTGTATTTTCATCATTCCATATATAACCAAGAAATGAAAAAGATTCTACATGAGTCTCAAGCCCCGGAAGTGCATGATAAATGCCGACAAAAACTCAATAATGCAGAGAAAATTAAGTGAATTACTCCATATTCAAAGTATGAAAAGAATCTATAACTTCTTCACGAGGGCCTACCGCTATCGTGGCGGGAAGTAAAAATTTATCCTTGTTCATGCATGGACTCCTCGGGTATGAAATGAAGTAATCCATTATACGATGAGAATTTTTATTATTGGAGAGTTGAACTCTTGGTTCAATTAGCAATAATTTTCTTATTCCGAAATTTACTTTTAACCTAAATTCTTTATTAGTAAAAACTACTTCAAATAAAATAAAATAAAAGTCATTAAAAAATCAAGAAAAAAAAAAAGGAAGAACCAAAATGAAAACTAGCTTAATTTCAATGTCATTAATTACCAGAGTAAAAAAACACTAGCTAAGTTAGATGTTGAAGAGAGGGTGATGGCTTCCTAAATGCGATGATCACAACCTCAGAGGGGGTGTCTGGAAGGTTCAAAAGTCAATGAACTACTTTACTTTCTAAAAAACGGTAGAGCCATTGGTGGCTGTATTGAATTCCAAATATATTTGGATTATGAAATCTCTACTTCTAATTTAAACTTCAAATCGTGAAATTGGTGAATTCCGAATTATAATTCAATTCCAAATCCGAATTCATATTGAACAACCATGGGGCAAAATTGAAATTCAAGGCTCAAGGTCCCAATCCTATATTCTCGAACGCATTCTTAATATATTCATTCTCTCTCTCTCTCTCTCTCTCTCACACACACACACACACACACACACACACTCACTAAAAATGCACGTCTGGGCTCCACAATGGGCCCAATTGAAGCCCAAAACTAGGCCCAATCAAGAGCTAAATTTCAAGAAACCCATTTGCAGCACACGAGTTGTCCCCAGGAGCTAGCTTTGCAATCTTTTAGACCATGTCAACTCAATATCTTCATGTCAGTTTCAGTTTACTTCAAATGCTGAAATGCCATTAATCACTGAGAGCGACCTTTTAGTCCAGTAGTATTTCTTCACCTTTCAAAGAAAAGGTTTAGGATTCAAATTCCCACATGGACAAAATACACACACACACATAAGAATAAAAGAATGTGATTGGTCTTTCCAGTTGGATCCAATTCAATGTGATTGGTTTTTCCAGTTAGAAAAATCAGCTAAGATGGACAATGCAACGCCATCGAAAGAAGGAAATCAACGGAAGAGTGGGCCTGATGTACAAAAATTCACACGGAAAACATGAATAATTTAAAATGTAACTTGTATAATAATTTTTTAAGTATTCAAAGTGTGTTAATTTAAAACGAGCTCATACTTGCACGGCATGCTTGTATGAAATTTGTAAGGCTTTACCGACGTGATCATGTATATCAAATGTTTGAGGTTATTAAGAGTAAATATTTGTTATTCCAATTAGGAGAGGTATTGAATTGACTCGGTAAACACACAAAAATATATATATATTGACTCTCGAAGGGGGAAAAAAAAAATTTTACTTTGTAAATAGCTTAGTATTGGGCCAGGTGGTTTATTACAAGAAAAGAATTTCTTGCTTTTTAAATTATTTTATTTTCATAAATAAATAAAAGAAATAAAACTTTAATAAGGTAATAATAAGAGTATGACGTATTGATGGTCCTAAACACTACATTTTTCATTACTTTTAAAGAAGTGATGGAAGCATTTCTCATTACTTTCGTGGTTCACATCTTTCTAATTATTCGTGTGAATGCAATTATAATAAGAATGAAAATTTTGGAACTTTGTGGTCTTTATCTTCCTTTATATAGCCCACCAACGTAGAAAATTACTTATATCGTCTGTCTGCAGTCAACGTGACCAGTACAAAAGTCATAAATGGTGGGGTAAGAAAGACACTGGTAATACTTTTTTTTTTTTCCCTTAATTTTCATACGGTGACTTTAAACCCTCAAACTTTCTATTATCTTAATAATTTCAGGATCTACCACTAGATTTCATTGTGGAAATCTTAATCTGAATTTTCATCATTTGTAACGGTGAGAAGAAAATGCTAGAAAATCATAGCTATTTCATATATAGCTATTTCATATCATGTGTGTCCCCATGCAAAATAGAAAAAAAGTACATGTTTAAATTACGGATTTGATTGAATCTATTATTATATAAATGTTCAAAAAATTAGACATATAAAAAGAAAGGTGTAAAATAAAGCTCTACAGGTGTATATGTTATACAGTATATTGTGATAAAATTAGGTGCCAAAAATTCAACTATATATATGTTTTATAAAAAAGAAGTAATAAATTCAACAAATCATGCACTAACCTTTTTAGGTGATGGATTTCACCGAAAGCCAGCTCATTTGCCTGCTCAAGTGCTCAACGTAACATCAATAACTCAACATAACACCACAAACATGACATGCAAGAATATATATGTACTAATTAATATTATATTAAGTATATATATATATGCATTTGATTTCATTTCTCAACATGACATACAGAGAATCTTATCATGTGTCCTATCCCCATGCAAAGATGTAAAAAACAAAACAAATTATAAGGCACAGAATATTGTCGTGCTTAAGGAAAACGATAACTTTTTTTTTAAAAAAATAACTTCTTTAGTTCTTTCTAGAAACAAATATAGGGTTAAAATCACACAGTCTAATTTAAATTAAAAAAAGTTATCCAGTTGTTCAACTCGATAATTTGGTTGAAATTGACATTGCTATTTAATGTTAAACTAAGATTTTGATAATATTTTTTTTTAATTTTAAAATGCAAAGGTCAATTTTGAAATTTAATATTAACTAATAATTTTGTATTTTGTATTTTTTTTTTTTTGTAATTTAACATTAATTTAATGGTCTTTTATTATTTTGTAATTTTGAATAATAAACCATTCCAATAATAATTAGAAATCAAAGAAGCTTAAATTTCAAACTGACGGGCTGCCTTACTTCAGTTAATATTTGAATCCTTTTTTAGCTGGAATTTTTTTCACTGTTGACATTTAGCAGCAACGATTTGAAAATGACTACTAATATATATTTTTTGATAAGTAAAACTGACAACTAATAGTTGTTCATACAATATCCACTCACTATTATAAGAACAAGAATAACAATACTAAACTAAATAAGAAGTGTGAACAACAACAACAACAATAACAACACTAGACTAAATAAGAAGAGTACATAGATACCGATTTTTCGTTAATTATGTGTCACAACTTCCTAAAAAAATTTCTCACTAATGTTGGTTATAGCTGCCAACCTTAAAGTTATAATATGCTAAGCGAAAAATTATATATAGAAAAAGAAAATTTTTCAAGAATTGTAGACTTTTAGAAAGTAAATAGGAATTGGTAGAGAATAGCATAACTAGATATCAGAATGAGATTATATTCTACATACTTTCAGGCTTTTTGCCTTCAGTATTCGGTATCTCTTTATTTTCACTATCTGGTTTTTTGGAATGTGCTACTCCTTCCTTAGTCTGTTCATCTACATAAGTACCGATTTTCTATTAATCATATGTCACAACTTCTTAAAAAAAAATTATCACTAATGTCAGTGATAGCTGCCAACCTTAAAGTAATAATGTGCTAAACGAAAGTTTATAAAATATATATATATATATATATATATATATATATATATATATATATATATATATATATATTTCAAGAATTGTAGACTCTCACAGAGTAAATAGGAATTGGATGAGAATAGTGTGGCTAGATACTGGAGTGAGATTAAAATCTTCATACCTTCAGGCTTTTTTGTTTCATCTTTCGGTATCTCTGTATTTTCACTTTCCGGTTTTGTGGTAAGTGCAGCTCCTTCTGTATTCTGTTCATCTGCATAAGTAACGATTTTCTACTAATTATGCGTAACAATTTTCAAATAATAAAATTCTCACTAATGTTGGTGACCGCTCCCAACCTTAAAGGTTTAATGTACTAAACAAAAGATTATAGAAAAAGAAAATATTTAAAGAATTGTAGACTTTTAAAGAGTAAATAAAAATTGGAAGAGAATAGCATGACTAGATGCCATAGTGAGATTATAGTCTACATACCCTCATGTTTTTTGGATTCAACGTTTGGTATTGTATTTTTACTTTCTGGTTTTGTGGAAAGTGCAACTCCTTCCATGATCTGTTCATCTGTATAAGTACCTATTTTATACTAATTATGTGTCAAAACTTCCTACAAATTTCTCACTAATGTTGGTGATAGCTGCCAACCTTAAAGCTATAATCTGCTAAATGAAATATTATAGAGAAAATAAAATATTTGAAGAATTGTAGACTTTCAGAGAGGAAATATAAATTCGATGAGAATATCATAGCTAGATACCGGAGTGAGATTAAAATCTACATACCTTTAGGCATTTTAGTTTCAACTTTTGGTATCTCTATATTTGCAATTTCTTTTTTTGTGTCAAGTGTATCTCCTTCCATATTCTGTTCATCTACATAAGTTCGGATTTTTTATTAATTATGTATAACAACTTCCTAAATAAAATTTCTCACTATTGTTGGTGAAAGCTGCCAACTTTAAAGATATATATATTTCAAGAATTGTAAACTTTCAGAGAGTAAATAGGAATTGGAAGAGAATAGCATGACTAGATACCAAAGTGAGATATAGTCTACATACCTTCAGGCCTTTTGGTTTCAACATTCGATCTCTCTTTATTTTCACTTTCTGGTTTTGGTGAAAGTGCAGCTCCTTCCATGGTCTGCTCAACTGCATAAGTACCAGTTTTTTTTTATTAATTATGTGTCACAACTTCCTAAAATAAATTTCTCACTAATATATGTTGGTGAAAGCTGCCAACCTTAAAGTTATAATATGCTAAACTAAAAATAACAGGAAAAGAAAATACTGTATTTCAAGAATTGTATACTTTTAGGGCGTAAATAGGAATGGAAAGAGAATAGTATGGCTAGAAAACGAAGTGAGGTTAAAATCTACATACCTTCTAGCTTTTTTGTTTCAACTCCCGTTATGTCTAAATTTTCACTTTCTGGTTTTGTGAAGAGTTTAGCTCCTTCCATGATATGTTTATCTGCATAAGTAGCGGTTTTTTATTAATTATATTTTGCAGTTTCCTAAAAAACATTTCTCACTAAAGTTGGTGATAGGAAACTAAAAATTATATTGTGCAAACTAAAAATTATAGGAAAAAAAAAAATGTTTCAAGAATTGTAGGCTTTCTGGAAGTAAATAGGAATCGGAAGAAAATAGCATTTGTAGATACTGTTGGGTTTATGGCTCAAAATTTATGTACGAAAATTAGTTTCCTTTTCGTTTTGGAAGGTTAAAATTTGTGGAGGAAGTTGTATCTCATTAGGTTTCTATTTTAGAGTTGTGACTTATATGATAACTCTTTGTAGGCAAGTTATAAGGAATTGGGTTTCAAACTCCATAAATGGAGATGGGTGTGAGAGATTAGAGTGAAGGAGAGTAAAGATGTAAGGGACTGTTAGTATTTTGAGGAGAGGGAAGAGTATACATAATTCATGTGGTTGTAGCCTTGAGAAGAAAGGGGCTCTTGTATTCTTAATTAGTTTGAAAAAGAACAAAAGCGTGAAAGAGGAAAATAGTGAAAGAGTGTGTGGGGTTTTGACATCTATAGTTGTACATTCTCTCCATTGATACACATTAGAGTGAAATCTCTCCCTCTATGGACGTAGCTAACCCATGTAAAATATTATATTGTACGTGAATCTATATGATTTTTATTTCCATATATGCTTGTGTGATGATGTTGTTTCTTGTGTGTATGATGAAAGAGGGATTTAATTTTCAAAAATATTTGCAACAGATACCAGAGTGAGATTATAGTCTACATACCTTTATATATTTTGGCCTCAACATTCGGTATCTCTTTATTCTCACTTTTTGATTTTGTGGAAAGTACAGCTCCGTCAATGGTCTGTTCATCTTCATAAGTACCAATTTCTATTAATTATGTTTTCACAACTTCTTAAAAGAAAATTCTCACTAATATTGGTGATAGATGCCAACCTTAAAGTTTTAATGTGCTAAGCTAAAAATTATAGGAAAATAAAATATTTCATGAATTATTGACAATAAGAGAGTAAATAGGAATCGGAATAGAATAGCATGACTAGATACCACAGTGAGATTCTACTCTACATACCTTCAGGCTTTTTGGCTCCAACATTCGGCATCTTTTTTTCATTTTCTGGTTTTGTGGAAACTGGCGCAGCTCCTTCCATGGTCTGTTCATCTGCGTAAGTACCAATTTTTCATTAATTATGTGCACAACTTTCTAAAAAAAATTCTTACCAATGTTGGTGATATCTGCCAACCTTAAAGTTATAATGTGCTAAGCACAAGATTATATATAGAAAAAGAAAATATTTCAAGAATTGTAAACTTTCGAGTAAATAGGAATTGGTAGAGAATAGCATGACTTGATACCAGATTGAGATTATAGTCTACAAACCTTCAGGTTTTTTGGCTTCAACATTCGGTATCTCTTTATTTTCACTTTTTGGTTTTTTGGAATGTGCAGCTTCTTCCTTGGTCTGTTCAACTGCATAAGTACCAATTTTGTATTAATTATGTATCACAACTTCCAAAAAAAAAAAATTCTTGCTTATGTTGGTGATAGGTGCCAACCTTAAAGTTATAATGTGCTAAACGAAAGATTGTAGAAGAAGAATATATTTCAAGAATCGTAGACTTTCAGAGAGTAAATTGGAATTGGAAGAGAATAGCATGAGTAGATACCATAGTGAGATACCATAGTGAGATTATAGCCTACATACCTTCAGGCTTTTTGGCTTCAACATTCGATATTCCTTTATTTTCACTTTCTGGTTTTGTGGAAAGTGCAGCTCTTTCCATGGTCAGGTCAACTGCATAGGTACCGATTTTTTATTACTTGTATGTTTCAACTTCTTACAAAAAGTATTCTCAGTAATGTTGGTGATAGCTACCAACATTAAAGTTATAATGTGCTAAACGAAATATTATAGAAAAAGAAATTTTTTCAAGAATTGTAGAATTTCAGAAAGTAAATAGGAATTAGAAGAGAATAGCATGGCTAGATTCCAGAGGAAGATTATAGTCCACATACCTTTAGGCTTTTTAGCTTTAACATATGGTGTCGCTTTATTTTCAATTTTTGCTTTTTTTGGAAAATCTGCTCCTTTCCTGGTCTTTTCTGCTGCACAAGTACCAATTTTCTATTCATTTATGTGTCACAATTTAAATTTTTAATTTTTTTTTTTAAATCTCACTAATTTTTTTTTTGGAATGGTATTCTCAATAATGTTGGTGATTGCTGCCAACTTTGAAGTGATAAGATACAATGCAAAAGATTATGGAAATTTTTTTTTTTTTTTTTTCAAGAATTAAAGAATTTCAGTGTCTATATGGAAATTGAAAGAGAATAGAATGACTAGACGTAGTCTACATACCTTCAATCTTTTTAGCTTCAACAATCTTTATCGGTTTAAATGAAAAAATTCTTTGGCTCTCCCGTACTGCCATTACAATATCGAAATGTGTTAAAGGATTGCCCAATGTAAATACTGCAAATTTTACTTAATTAGTTTAATATTCTCCATTTCCTTTTTCTTTTCGATATCTAATACTAACTTCTAGTTTCAAAAATGATTATTTTTGAAATGTGTTAAAGGATTGTCCATATGGATTAACTTTAAAATAGATATAAAAAAGAAAAAGAAAAATAAATTCCGTGGGTTGAGATGCAGTCGCGACATTTCCACATTCCTTCATTCACAAGTAAAGAATAGTAGTTTCATTTTGATAAAACGACAAATCCCAAACTAGTCTCCACAGAAAAGGAATGAGCGAAATGGGAAATTAAAAAGAAAAGAAAGGAAAATGATTCTAGGCCTATTTGTTAGGTTCAATTATCAGAGTGAAACAATTATAAGGTCCTTGACTGGGATGGGACATAAAATGAGTCACACTTCAGGTTATAAAGGGCTTTAATTGATTTGCTGTGAAAAGTAAGCATAACAAGTGACCTGAATATAAAACGTTATTGTAAGGTAATTAGTTTGTCAGTAAGGGAAAATTACATATAAATGGAGTCAAAGTTTCATATTTACTTAGAGGCTGAGTTAAAGTTCCATATTTCTCTAAAATGGATTGCTGAGGTGGCACATGGTTTTTTACTGTTTAGAAATTGTGGTGCCTAAAATACCCTTCCGCGAAGGTACTACTTTTTCTTCGAAGGTACTACTTTTTTGAACTGACGGTACTACTTTTTGGCGACCAGGTACCATGTTTTTTAAACACCCGCGAAGGTACTACTTTTTCTCCGAAGATACTACTTTTTTGAACTGAAGGTATTACTTTTTTGAACTGAAGGTACTACTTTTTTGTTAGGGAATGGCATTTTAGGCACCACAATTTTCTAAACAGTAAAAAATCATATGCCACCTCAGCAATCCATTTTAGAGAAATATAGAATTTTGACTCAGTCTCTAAGTAAATATGAAACTTTGACTCCATTTATATGTAATTTTTCCTTTCAGTAATAGAACTTGTCCTTACTTGAAAAAAATATCGAAAAGAAAAAGGAAATGAAGAATATTAAACTAAGTCAAATTTGCAATGTGTGTGTAAAACTCGTCGCTCATGCATTTAGGAACTTAATTCTTGCGGTTGTTTCCTAGAAAATATAAAAATAAAATTTAGATGACCATTAAAGAAAGAAAGAAACTTAAAGTGGCAAGCTAAGAAAAAAGAGAGGAAAACAATATTGATTAAGAGAGGTAAACATGCATTTTGGAACAATATTTACCTTTTTCATCTAATATTCGGGCTCGTTCCTTTACAAAGCCGCTCTGCCCTTGCTCCTTTACCATTACTTCCAAATCCCAAAAGCACAAAAAAGCTTTCAACTATTATGAGAGCTGCAATGCTTCTACAGCTCATCTTTGGCACTCATACTCCTTATATAACCACATTTAGGTCAATGAAATGATATATATATATATATATATATATATATATATATATATAATATGACTCGGATGCACACAAGAACGCAAGCTACAACTTTTCATCTATAAACAAACAAAACATAATGGTTGCTTGGGTTGATTTTTTTAAGGGTAAATTGCAAGTTCAACAACTTTCCCAGGCAATATTACTAAACTAGCATCTTCTACAAAATATTTATACAAAAGACTATAATTAATTACAAAAATATATATACAAAAGACACGCTCTTGAATATATATATATATATATATATATATATATATATATATATATATAATATGACTCGGATGCACACAAGAACGCAAGCTACAACTTTTCATCTATAAACAAACAAAACATAATGGTTGCTTGGGTTGATTTTTTTAAGGGTAAATTGCAAGTTCAACAACTTTCCCAGGCAATATTACTAAACTAGCATCTTCTACAAAATATTTATACAAAAGACTATAATTAATGGGAAAATTACATATAAATGGAGTCAAAGTTCCATATTTACTTAGAGACTGAGTCAAAGTTTCATATTTCTCTAAAATGGATTGCTGAGGTGGCACATGGTTTTTTACTGTTTAAAAAATTGTGGTGTCTAAAATGCCCTTCCCTAACAAAAAAGTAGTACCTTCAGTTCAAAAAAGTAGTACCTTCGGAGAAAAAGTAGTACATTCGCGGGTGTTTAAAAAACATGGTACCTGGACGCCAAAAAGTAGTACCTTCAGTTCAAAAAAGTAGTACCTTCGAAGAAAAAGTAGTACCTTCGCGGAAGGATATTTTAGGCACCACAATTTCTAAACAGTAAAAAACTATGTGCCACCTCAGCAATCCATTTTAGAGAAATATGGAACTTTAATTCAGTCTCTAAGTAAATATAAAACTTTGACTCCATTTATATGTAATTTTTCCATAATTAATTACAAAAATATATATACAAAAGACACGCTCTTGAACCCTTGTCAATGCAATTTAGCCAATTGCACTCTACGTACCTAAAACCTTACCAAAATGCCCCTATGAAACTCAAATGACAAAGATCCAGTGTTACGTATGT